GAGATGGATTGGCAAAGTGGCATCATCAATGGGCTCAATCATGGCAACAATTGTAAGGTTGGCCCAGGACTGGGCAATGTTTCATTCTGTTGTGTATAGGGTCGCTATGAGTCGGAACGGACTCGATGGCACCTAATGACAACAACAATGCTTAAAAAAAAAAAAAAATCCAAAGTAAATTCCATTTGAGTCCTTTCCAACTCATGGTGACTCCATCTGTAGAGAGACAAAAACAAACAAAACCCCCAAACAAAACAGGTGACATGAAGCCAAGTTCAGAAGGTGGCGCAGGGGCAAGTTTCACTTACATGAAGTAAGAGTGGTAAAGCCTCCTCTGCACCTCTGTGCTTGCATTAAGCACCAGCGTGTTTAGTTTGCTTGTTTTCCCTACGTGGCCGCCAGGAGGCGCTGCCACGTTTCTACGGAGTATCAGAAGTCGAGAACGGGAGAAGGACTGTCGCCTCAGCTTGTGTCAGGGACTGAGTGAATCACTTCCTGCGACAGGGCTACGTCACTTCCTTTCAAGCTAGGCGTTTGGCTGCTGGATACTCACGCTGGGCCAACATGCGTATCGAGAAGTGTTACTTCTGTTCGGGACCCATCTACCCGGGTCATGGCATGATGTTTGTCCGCAACGATTGCAAGGTGAGGTGTCCGAGACTGGTGCGCGCCCCGCCGCATCCCGCAAGCCGGTGCCCAAGCCCGCCGGCCTGCGGAGTTTGTCGCCGATTTTCGGCGATCCTCCTCGGAGAGAGTGCTTCGGAACGAACTCCGGCCTAGACCTTCGTCTGGGGTGGGGGGTTTTCTGGCCGTCGTCCCGAAGGGAGCTCATCGTCGGCTGTAGTTGGAACCGGCTCTGCTAGGGCAGTTCCGCCACTGTTACGTGGGCCCAGTGTTTGAATTCAGGAAACTGATTAGTACCTGCCCAGTCACACATTCCCGAAGATTATAAAATGTAGGGCTGTACGCACTCTGGTGGTGGTGGTTATGTGCCGTGGAGTCGTTCCGACTCATAGCGACCCTGTACACGGTTTCCGAGGCTGTGAATCTTTACGGGAGCAGAAAGCCTCATCTTTCTCCCACGGAACAGCTGGTAGTTTTGAACTGCTCACCTTGTGGTTCGCAGCCCGATTCGTAACCACTACACTACCAGAGCATTGTATTGGGCTTGAAAGAAATGTCAGTATGTGGTGTAATTGTTGTCAAGTGCCATCAAGTCGATTCTGACCCATAGCGACCCTGTATAGGGTTTCCAGGGAGCACCTTGAACCGCCGACCTTGCAGTTCAAACGGCTTTGCTGCAAAGTGTTAGGGGAACACAGATGGAGAGGTGTAATGTTCTTGGAGGTGAATTCGGGGGAGTTGTATATGAAAAGACTCAAATGACATTTGTTCCGGGTCTTGAAATTAGAGTAAGAAAGGAAGGAGAGTCTAATCTGTGGAAGGAAAGTGAACAGTGGCAAGAAAGGAACCATTGATGTCTCTTTATTTAAGAAGTGGTGACTGAATTGTAGAAGATCATGGAGGCTTGTTGGGTGGTCGGCTCCACTCTTAACCAACGAAACAAATACTGCTGGGCCCTCGACCATCCTCACAATCTTGATTAGTTGCAGCCATTGTGTCAATCCCCCATTTTGAGGCTTTTCCTCTGATTCTGTATTTGCTGTCCTTTATTAGGGACTTGCTCCTCCTGACAACGTGTCCAAAGTACATGGGATGAAGTCTTGTCATCCTCACTTTTAAGGAGCATTCTGACTGTACTACTTCTAAGACAGATTTCTTTTTTCTTCTGGCAGTCCAGGATGTATTCAGTATTCTTCACCAACACCATTAGTCAAATCTGTCAAGCGTTCTTTTGTCTTGCTCATTCATTGCGCAGCTTTCACATGCATATAAGATCACTGGAAATGCTATGGATTGGGTTAGGTGCATCTTAGTCCTCCAGGTGACATATTTGTTATTTCGTTTTAAACCAAGAGAGCCTTTTACAGCAGATTTGCCCAGTGCAATAATACATTGTTTGATTTCTTGACAGCTGCTCCCCTTGTGGATCCAAGTAAAATGAAATCCTTCACAACTTCAGTTTTTTCTCTGTTTATCATGGTATTGCTTATTAGAGGCAAGTACTGTAAGTACAAGGGTGCACGGTGACGCTAAGAAAAGCCTTGTACTACTAACCCACAGGGCCAGTAGTTTGAGTCTACCAGCTGCTGTGTGGGAGAAAGATGGGACTTCTATTCCTGTAAAAATATACAGCATTAGAAACTTTATACAGGGTCGTTATGAGTTGGAACCAATTCGATGGTACACAACAATAAATACAAACACAATAGGGCTTTGTTGTTGTTATGTGCTGTGGAGTCAGTTCTGATTCATAACGATCCTGTACCAGGTTTCCAAGGCTGCTGTAAATCTTTACGGGAGCAGAAAGCCTCATCTTTCTCCCGCAGAACAGCTGGTAGTTTCGAACTGTTGACCTTAAGGTTCACAGCCCGATTTGTAACCACTATGCTACCAGAGCTCCTTACAATAGGGCTATAAATATATTAATATAGGGTTTTGAAAGACTATGAATGATATATGTTTGCTGTCTCCTATCAGCATAAATTCCATCCCTCCCCCAACTTTTTTAACAACAACAACAACACAGATTTGGCCTTATATTTGTTTCTGAAATCACTGGCTGCTTGTTTCCACCAGATTTATTGAATTCACGTCTTTAGGAATTGGGGAAGAGGATCTGCAAACTATTTAACAAGATGATTTTGACATACCAAGGAATTATAATTCGTATGTCATTGCTTTATATCTCTAGTATTGTCAGAAGGCATTGGCCTTAGTAAATTAGGAGCAAGGGTTCTTACTGAAAGTGAGCAACCAAAACTGTGAACTTCAAGTAGAAGATTTTGAATAACTGCTCTTGGGAACATAATAAGAAATGTATAGGAAGTGAACCAAAGGATTGCCAGGGTGAGCACGCTTTCATGCTGGGCAGTATGGCTTTGATAGGATTTTTGCCCACCAGTGTTTTTCAGCTGGACAGGTATTGGAATTAGAAGAATACATCGTGGGAACAGTTTAGAGTTTTCATCTGGCAGACACACTGGAAGTTGAGTGTGATGAGGTACTGCTAGCAGGGACTGTGAAATTGACTAAACAGCTTTGCTAATGAAGACAAATGGATCCAACAAAGTGTTGGCTGAAGGAAATAAGAGATAAGAGGCTTTGAAGCATGGAAGAAAAACAAGTATCTCATTTTTTCTATGTTAATGCTTCTCAAATTCCCTTAGGCCCAAATCTGAGTTTTCAACTGGCTAGGGAAATCCTGCCTGTACCTAATGTTGAGCTCACTCGAAGAAAATTCTTTATTTTCTCAAGTCTTTCTGCCTTCTGAATTATACATTTCTGCTAGAAACTTGAAAGTCATCTTTGAATCTTTACCTTTTGTGTCGAGGTATCAAAGTTCTCTTATTTCTGTGGCTAAAAGGATAGTGTAGCCTTTGCTCTTTCTGCCCTCTTGCAGTTGTTTCGGATAGGTGGTAGTATACCGTGGAGTCGGTTCCGACTCATAGCAACCCTGTATAGAGTTTCTGCGGCTGTAAATCTTCATGGGAGCAGAAAGCCTCATCTTCCTCACGCACAACCTCCCTAGTAACCTTAAGGTTGTCAGCCCGACTTGTAACTACTATGCTATGCTATGAGAGGCTCCTTGAAGATGATGATATGGGAGTAGATATATAAAACTTTCATCCCATTTATATCCCAGTATGATCATGTGCTGTCTTTGTTGTAAAATGAGGTTATCACAATTCTACCAATTTTCGTTTCTCAAGGTGGGACACCATATTTTATCTTTCTATCGTTAGTATAAATAACATCAGGCACATAGTTGATATTCCTTATTTGGTGATTGAATCATTTCACTTTTTCAGGGACTCTGGTCTCTTCTGCACTTTTTAGATATCACCTATCAGACCTGGTGTTCAACTAGAATTTGCTGTAACTTCCCATTGACTCTAATTGGAATTGAGACCCAGGACAAGTGCAAGTCTTTCATTTAGATAGATTCTAAACATGGAGATTTGTCTAGGGATTATCTAAACCCCAAACCCACTGCCATCCACTCTATTCTGATTCACGGCAATCTTATTGGGGTTTCCCGAGGCTGTAAATCTTCAGCAGTTGAAAGCCTCTTATTTCTCCCTCAGAGCAGTTGGTGGGTTTAAACCACTGGCCGTGCAGTTAACAGTCCAGTGCTTGTCCTACAGTTCCACGAGGACTCCTTGGTGAATTATCTAGTGTGTAATAAATTTAGGCTTCTCTTAACGAGGTAATATAATAAGACTTTGGCTGCAAATATCAAAATACTAATAAAATTTGCTGATCTTGATTTCATAGTCTCCTTGAGACTACAGTAGTTTTTATGTTTTCTAGTTGTTGAAATTAAATCAAGAATGTAGCCATGCTTTCACTTAAATTGTTTAGGAGAAGGTTTTCCAGGGGGGGCCCAGGTGAGATTAGACAGTTACTGTTTCCAGGAGAACTTGCCCCCCCCTTTGTATGATCTACTTGAAATCCTCTCGCTAGAACAAAGTGTATCAGAGCCTGTGAGCCTGTCCACAGGATTGCTGTTATTGGGTGCTAATGAGGCAGTTTTCAACTCCGAGTGACTGGTGGAACTGAGGAGAATTGCCCCATTGGTTTTCTGGCTGTAATCTTTATAGAAGGCAGATGTTATCCCACAGAGCTGTTGGGTGAATTCAGACTGCCAACCTTTTGGCTAGTAGTAAAGTGCTTAACTACTGCGTTAGTGTGCCTTTCCACAGGCACACTTAGTTTGAAATGTTAAACTGATCTTTGTCGTACTTTGTTATGAGTTATGCCTTTGATGTAAGAAAATTCGATTATTTTGTCAAGATCCATAAACCCCAAATAATTACTTTTTCTCTTCAGGTTTCCTCCAGTAACACACACACATACACACACATAAAATGTTGTTTTGTAGTATCAGGTTGATTCTCACTTCTGGCAACCCCATATGACAGAGTAGAACTGCTTTATATAGGGTTCACTAGGCTATAAATCTTTATGGGAGCAGATTGTGAGGTCTTTTCCACTGAGTGGGTTCAAACTGCTGACCTTCATGTTTGCAGCTGAGAGCATAACCATTGAATAACCAGGACTCGTTAACATTACAAAGTACAAAAGAAATTTTAAAAGCGCTTTTGACTTACAAGTCCTAATAAGCTATTTGGAGTCCTGGTGTGGCATTGTGGGTTAAAGCGCGGTTCGAGGTCACCAGCTGCTCTTTGGAAACCCTATATAGGCTCACTATGAGTCAGAACTGACTTGATGGCACTTAACAACAATAGACTGTTTGGGAGTAATAGTAGAGTGGTGGGTTATGTGTGGGGCTGTTAACTGCAGGGTCAGCAGTTTGACTCCACCAGCTACTCCATGGGAGAGGCTTTCTGCTCCTGTAAAGATTTGGAACCCGCTCAATGGCAAACAACAACAGGCTACTTCAGGGATACATTGAAGGGTCACTATTAGAGGATCAGCTCTTTCAGCATGAAGAGCCCTAGCAATAATGACTCTTCCTTGTTTTTGTTGTTGTGATGTGCCGTGGAGTGGGTTCTGACTCATAGCAACCCTGTGCAGGGTTTCTGAGGCTGTAAATCTTTACGGGAGCAGACAGCCTCATCTTTCTCCCGCGGAGCAGCTGGTAGTTTTGAACTGCTGACTGTGAGATTAGCAGCCCGATTCATAACCACTATGCTACCAGAGCTCCAATGACTCTTCCTAGCAGATCTTTAATACATAGTGTAGAAAACTGATTTGTTGATAGATTTAATTGCTTTAAAATTAAGTTTAACTTTTAATAAGAAAGATGGAAATGATCAAAGGAGAACCTTAAATGGTTGTTTGAAACTTTTATCCCCACTGAGATGAATAGAAGTGAAATTTTAAATTGCCCTGAATTGGAAAGAGACTCTAAATGACTCTCCTTAAAATTATTCCCTTTATTTAAAATCATTAAAAGGTTTTATTGTTATTCTATAAAATGATTAGTAGTATTTAATGATTTGGGGGGCTGTTAGCCTTTATTTGGGATGATGGCTGAGAGCCAAAATAGTTCAATTTCCACTTAATCTTACACATCTCACCTGTTTCGGTCTGAGGTTGTGCGTAGGTAGAAGGCATTGTGCTGGAGAACCAGCGTTGTTTCTCTGACTTTACAGTATTTTTTGTCTGATGGAGGTAACATCTTGCAGTAGAAAACCTTTAATCATTGTAATTTTTAAATTTTTTTGTAGGTGTTCAGATTCTGCAAATCCAAATGTCATAAAAACTTTAAGAAGAAGCGCAATCCTCGCAAGGTCAGGTGGACTAAAGCATTCCGGAAAGCAGCTGGTAAAGAGCTGACGGTGGTGAGTAACGTTACTACAGAGGTCACGTGGAGGGGAAGCTTCCTACGCGTGTGTGGTTGAACATGCTGAACTCTGCTGAGAAAGAGAATATGTTTGAGACACGGATCTGCTCTACCTCTTAAAGCCATCTCTTTCTGTCTCTGTTTCCTCTACAGGATAATTCATTTGAATTTGAAAAACGTAGAAACGAACCTGTCAAATACCAGCGAGAGCTATGGAATAAAACTAGTAAGTCACGAAAATACCAGGAATTTTCAAGAGAGACTGACTTGGGATATGGCTTAACTTTAATGCCAGTTGTTTAAATGTTGATTTTCTTCGCCTTTTTATTTCCTGGCTTTTATTTTACCTTTGTTAATGGTTTTCTAGTATTTGTATCTCTTGCCGTAAGCTGTACCAAATCTTTAGAATTGGTTGGGGCAGGTGTTTGGCCTGCTAACTACAAGACCGGCAGTTCATCAGCTGCTCCATGGGCGAAAGTGAAGCTGTGTGCTCCTATAAATATTTTACACTCTCAGAAACTCTCTGTAGCGTTTCTGTGTGTCGGAATTGACTTGATGGCAGTGAGTTTTGGATATAAATGCAATGTCATTATTAAATTTGCTAATACTTGAAGTGTCCACAATTCAGAGATATATTGTTATGGTTACGTGCAATCTACCTAGTCAGTTTTGACTCATAGTGACCCTGCATATGGCTTTTGAGGCTTTAAATCTTTGTAGGAGTAGAAAGCCTCATTTTTCCCCACAACTGGTGGGAAAAAATTTTTTGCCCCCACGATGAGCTTGTGCTTAGGACCCACTGTGTTCCCTCAGAGATGTATTGTTATTGTTAAGTGCCGTCGAGTCGGTTCTGACCCATAGTGACCCTGTTTAGGGTTTCCAAGGAGCAGCTGGTGAGCTTGAACTACAGGTCTTGTGGTTCAAACTGACTTTGCAATTGAGTGCATTAACCTTTAAGTACCCCCAAACCTGGAGGAAAATAGGGAGAGAATAATTTTTGGTGGGGAGAGTATGTTGTTGTCAGGTGCCATCCAGTCGGGGGAGAGTATAGCATAATCAAAATATAAACAAAACCCAACATAGTTTGCATGATTAAATCACTTTAGGGAAGTAAACCGTGTATTCTACTTACTAGCTTATAAAATTTAGTGCTTAAGTAAAATTTAAAAATACAGCTCTTCGGGTGATAGTTAAAAATTTTCTAACACAATTTCTCGTGAGTTGTTTTCTACTGTAAAACAGCCCCATACCATCAGTTTCTAAGTCTGATCTTTATAGAAGCAGTCAGTCAGGTTTTTGCTCCTGTGGGAGCCTGCTGATGGGTTTGAATTGCTGAGCTTTGGATTAGCAGTCAAATGCTTAAGCACTATGCTACTAGAGCTCCTTAATGAAGTTATAGTCTACTGAAATGAAAGGCAGTAATGTTCAATTTTTGTCTTTTTTCCCCCTGCAGCAGGCTGAGACATTAATGAAGTAAAACTTAGGTTCCTTTAGCTAGCTTATAGAATTGACTATATAGAAAGTCCTAGGCCTTTGGCCCTGCTTTCTCCATCCCCACCCCCCACGACTAAATAGCCTTTGGCTATTTCTAGTATTGACTTAAGAGTTTCCTTACTAGAACTCTAAGGTGTAGAATTCCATGAATTTTATTATCCTGCTATGGCACTTGTAGTAATCACTGGACCACAAGCTGGGTTTGACCAGCAAGATCTGCAATTCAAACTCACCAGCTGCTTCTTGGTAACCATATGCAGAGTCACTATGAGTTGAAACCGTCAGCATGTAACACCACCAACAATAAATCATAAGCAGAACATCCCTTTCAACAGCTTTTCCTTAGTCACAAGACATGAGGGGAGGAATGGAAAAGATGTGGACTTTTGTAGTAGTATTTGACATCCTTTCAAGCTTTGTTTGAGGAGCCTGGGTGACCTAACGTTTAAACCCAGGGAGAAAGACGTGGCAGTGTTGTTGTTGTTGGATGCCATCGAGTCGTTACTGACCCATAGTGACCTTATGCACAGCGGAACGAAACACTGCCCAATCCTGGGCCAACCACCTCACTACTGTTGCCACGCTTGAGTCCATTGATGCTGCCACTTGGCCAATCCATCTCGTTGGGGGTCTTCCCCTTTTTCTCTGACCCTCCACCTTACCAAACATGATATCCTTCTCCAGCGACTGGTCCCTTCTGACGATATGTCCAAAGTATGAGAGATGAAGTTTGGCCTCCAAGGAGCACTCTGGCTGTACTTCTTCCAACATGGATCTCTTGGTTCTTCTGGCAGCCCATGGCACTTTCAATATTCTCCTCCAACACCATAATTCAAATGCATCAATTCTTCTACGGTCTTCCTTATTTACTGTCCATGTCCATTTCACATGCATATTGAGGTTATTGAAAATACCGTGGCTTGAATCAGGTGCACCTTAGTCTTCAAGCTGACATCTTTGTTCTTTCAACACTTTAAAAAGGTCTTGTGCAGCAGATTTGCCTAATGCAATACAATATGTCATCTGATTTCTTGACTGTTGCTTCCATGTGAGTGTTGATAGTTGATCCAAGAAGAATGAAGTCCTTGACAACTTCAGTCTTTTCTCCGTTGATAAGAATGTTGTTTATTGGTCCAATGGTGAGGATTTTTGTTTTCTTGACATTGAGATGTAATCCATACCAAAGGCTGTGCCCTTAGAGCTTCATTAGTAAATGTTTTAAGTCCTCTTTAATTTCAGCAAGCAAGGTTGTATCATCTGCATATCTCAGGTTGTTTAATGAGTCTTCCTCCAATCCTAATGTCACGTTTTTCTTCATAGAACCCAGCTTTGCTCAGCATACAGGTTGAATAAGTATGGTGAAAGAATACAACCTTGTTGCACACCTTTTTTAAGTTTAAACCATTCAGTGTTTCCATGTTCTGTTTGAACAACTGCCTCTTGGTCCATGTACAGATTCCTCATGAGCACAATTAAGTGTTCTAGAATACTCATACTGGCAGTGTTGTCCATAGCTTGTCATGATCCACACAGTCGAAAGCCTTTGCGTAGCCAATAAAGCACAGGTAAACATCTTTCTGGTATTCTCTGCTTTCAGCCAAGATACATGGGACATCAGCAATGATATCCCTCGTTCCACGTCCTCTTCAGAATCCGGCTTGAACCTCTGAAAGTTCGCTGTCAATGTATGACTGTAGCCATTTCTGTATTACCTTTAGCAAAACTTTACTCACATGGGATATCAAAGAGATTGTTTGATGACCTGCATTCTGTTGGGTCACCTCTCTTTGGAATGGGCACAAATATGGATCTCTTCCAATCAGTCGGCCAGATAGTTGTGTTCCAGATTTCTTGGCAGAGATGAATGAGTGCCTCTTGAGCCGCCTCACTTTCTTGAAAGCTTTCCATTTTTATTCCATTAATTCCTGGTGCCTTATTCTTCAGCAATTCTTTCAATGCACCTTGGACTTCCTCCTTCAGTATCATTGGCTCTTGATCATATGCTACCTCTTGAAATAGCTGAACAATAACCATTTCCTTTTGGTACAGTGACTCTGTGTATTCCTTCCATCTTCTCTTGATGCTTCCTGCATCATCCAATAATTTGCCCAGAGAATCTTTCAATAATGAAAGTCCAGGCTTGAATTTTTTCTTAAGTTTTCCCAGCTTGAGAAATGCTGAGTGTGTTCTCCCTTTTTGGTTTTCTGATTCCAGATCTTTGCACATTTTGTTGTAATATTTGGCTTTATCTTCTTGAACTGATCTTTGAAATTTTCTGTTCAGCTCTTGTACCTTCTTGTTTCTTCCATTTGCTTTAGCATCTGTACCTTGGAGAGCAAATTTCAGTGTCTCTTCTGACATCCATTTTGACCTTTTCCCTCTTTCTTGTCTTCTCAGTGACCTTTTGCTTTCTTCCTGTATTATGCTCTTGATGTCATCCCGCAATTCTTCCGGTCTTCTGGTCTTTCGTGTTTAATGTATCAAATCTGTTCTTCAAATGATCTGTAAATTCAGGTGGGGTATATTCAAGGTCATATTTTGGCTCTCGTGGACTTGTTTTCATTTTCTTCAACTTCAGTTTGAATTTGCAGTTCTAAACAGTTCCCAGGTGATGCTGATGTTACTGGTCACCAGATTATACTTATATAAAAAAAAAGTTTTTATTTTGACATGCTTGCAGAAAATTTGTAGAGGTAGACTTCTTTTGGACCCTTCATCTAGCTTTCCCAGAGAGTAACATTTTATTCAATGGGTCCTTTCACCTTCCCTCCCTTCCCCTCCCTCATTTCCTTCCTCCTTCCCTCCCTTCATTCATTCCTTCTCATATAATTGTTTTCTGAATGTTTTTCAGTTGTATACATGATACTCCTTTATCTCTAAATAATGTAGTTATTAAAGTCAAGAAATTAGTATTGATGTAATTATTATCTAATTTTAGATCTGTTTAGATTTCTTCAGTTGTCCCAGTAATATCCTTTATATTAAGAACAGTACATGCCATCTTTCCTTATCTCTTAATCTGGAACACTTTTCAGTTTGTCTGTGTATTTTATAATATTGGCAGTTTTGAAGAAGGTGGGCCAAGTATTGGGTATAAAATCTCCCAGCTGGGTTTTCATTAGCATCCCCAAGAGTGGGCTCATATACTGCCCCTTTGGCAGGTGCCATACAGCACAGAAGTGAGGCTGTGTTGCATGAGGAGACACTTGCTGTCAATTAGTCCCATTCCTGGCACTGATTACTCTGATCCTTGGTTAAGTTAATGTCTTCATGTGTCTCCACTGCAAAGTTGCTATTTTACTCTTTGTATGTATTGTGAGGGATAATTAAAGACACTGTGGATTTACTTTAATTCCTTAAATTAGAGTGGGAGTTGTGCTGACCAATATAGTAGCCACAAGCCAGACAGGCTACCAAGCACCTGAAATGTGTCTGAATGGAGGTATACTTACTGTAAATGTAACATCCACGCCATATTTTGAAGATTTAGTATAAAAAAAAAATGAGGATGCAAATACTCCATGAATCGTTCTTTTATATCCATTACATGTTGAAATATTTTTGATATATTGGGTTAAGCAAAATATATCATTAATATTAATTTCACTTTGTATTTCTTAAAATAATGTACGTATTAGTTAAAAATCGCAAATATGGTTTGTCTTTATGGTGGATGTCTTTGATGTAGAATCTAGAGCATAGCTGAGCTTGGCTCCCTTTCAGCCAATATAAGCATAAGAAGTACTTTGCTAAAATACTTGTTGATGAAACTCATACTGCTTGGATGTGCACAGATTTCTTACTGATCCTTACGAATTTTTTTGTAGTTGATGCAATGAAGAGAGTTGAAGAGATCAAACAGAAGCGCCAAGCTACATTTATAATGAACAGGTATGAATCTTGTGTAAAATAACTATTAGAGAAAGAATTATTAGTAGAAATCTAGAGGCACTAGTTGCTTTTTTTTTGTTTTCATATTTTGTGATAATTTCACATGTAACAAAAACTTTCCAGAATATTGCAAATAATTCTTGTATTCAGTTACCATTTTGCCACATTTATCTGTATCTTTTTTTTTAATGTATAGCATGATGGTGATGTGATGCCCTTTGCTCGTATATGTACTTAAGTGTACATCCTAAAATTAAGAACCATTTTACATAACTATAGGATAGTTATCAAAATCAAGTAATTCTGTGGCCTTGTTACTATTAGAAAATACACATATATTATTTAGATTTTGCCATTTGTTTCAATAATGCCTTTCATCACCAAATGAAATCCTGGTGCATCCATTTTATTTAGCAGTCACACCTCTTTAGTCTACATCACTTTGAAACAATTTCTTATTTTACTTGACGTTGACTTTTTTTAAAGAGTGTAGGTAAGTTATTCTTATATACTATTCTGCATATAAAAATTTGAGCTTTCCCTTATGACCTAGATTCAGGTTAAGACGCTTTAGCAAGACTGTCACAGAAATGATGGTGTGTTCTCATCTGCAGCACCACATGAAGCACGTGATAGCCACTAACTGGTGATGGTAACTCTGCTCACTTGGTTAAAATTGTGTTTGCCAGATTTCACCACTGGAGAGTTACCACTGTTTCCCTTTTTCATGAATACATATTGATGGTGATACATTGAGACTCTACAAAGAAGCTGTTACTTTTCAAACATGTACCCACTAATTTAGCATCCTTTGGAGAGACTATCCTGAATCAGTTATTATTGTGTTTGTTGTCAAATAACTTTTTTCTAATGCTGTCATTTCTTCTACAATGGCTTTTTAATGTAAGAAAGAGCTTTCTTTTTTCCCTTTATTTCATTCATTCATTCTTTGATATCATGCATTCATGGGTTCTTGTAGCATTTAATGGCTTATGATTCTTTGCTGTCTTATTTTGATATTCTAAATGCCCCAGGTTTGGCCAATGGGAACTTCATCAGGTGTGGTCTTGTGTGCTTTGACAAGTCCTCATCATTCGCTGAGTAGTGTCTTACTTTATGCCTACCAAGATGTTTAAGATTCACTCTGACTCCACTCCCCCATCTGGAATTGGCTGTTTCTTCACAGCCAGAGCATTTGTTTTTTCTGTTATAGAAAAGAAGTAGGTTTCCAGCAGCTTGAGAGCTAATCTGTTAGCACTTTTGGTTGAATACCTGTCAGTGCTTTGTGTTTTTGCAACTACTGAATGATTTAAAAAATAGATTGCATAGAAGTTGTTATCTACTTGAGGAGCAATTATCTAGGCACTCCAACAATTTGGAATTGTCTTATGAAATGTAGAGCACAGTAGTGTATATGATAGACATTCATTTTTGAGGCTTGTAATTTTTTAAGTAAAAAAATCATTATGAGTCGAGTTTTTATGGAAGAATTTTATTCATCTATAAGGGCTCAGCAAATGGCTTTACCTTAAATTTGGGGATAATTTGAGAGAACTGAGACACTCTTTGTTCATTTAATGGTGCTCATACTCTGATGGAATGGCGGGAAGAGGGAGAGAGCAAACAGAAGGACAATCACCTATTTCCATTTCCCGTTTTTATGACTAACTTTTGATAAAATGTTTAAAATTCTCTTGTGAATTATTATCTCTGAAAGAAATTGTTTGTTGCTGTTTTTGTTATGTGCCGTGGAGTCGGTTCCGACTCATAGCGACCCTGTACAGGGTTTCCAAGGCTGTAAGTCTTTATGGGAGCAGAAAGCCTCCTCTTTCTCACGTGGAACAGCTGGTAGTTTTGAACTGCTGACCCTGATATTAGCAGCCCGATTCTTAACCACTAGGCTACCAGAGCTCCTTAAAGAAGTTTTAGGAACTGAAATTTTGTCTTGATGTGTTCTATTGTAGGTTAAAGAAAAATAAAGAGTTACAGAAAGTTCAGGACATCAAAGAAGTCAAGCAAAACATCCATCTTATCCGGGCTCCTCTTGCAGGCAAGTATTACATTGCACAGGGGTGTGTGGCTTTAAGTAGGGAGCTAAATTGCAAGGCTTTTGTGATTTGTGTAATTGGATGTCACCTAACTTTTAAGGGTAAGTCTTTTTCATTTAAATATTCCTCTCATTGTACATTTGTGTTGTGACTTGACTTAGAAAAATGTAATTCATTCAGTGTATTTCCCAGTCCCAGTCTATTGTATATGGTGTTTCTTCCCCCGACCTTGTAAAATCTTATATCACACAAGTTAGCTCTCCGAATTCAGCAGATTTGAGTAATTTTAGGTGATTTTTGCTTCATTCCTATTTTGATTAAATGATTACATTTTCTATTAGTAGTTTTCAAATTTTGGTTGGTAAAAGAATTACTTGGGGTTACTTGGTGAAAATACAGAGGTCCTGTCTGTCTGGTCCTCTGTGCGCTTTGTCAGCCTTAGGTGATTACTGAATAACTTATAGTCAGTTATTCAGTACTTTAGGCAGTTAATTTGCATGGTTTCTTTTTTGAGGTGCTAGAAAACTAGTCTTAATCAGCTGGTACTAAGTACATTCTGTTACATCATTTACCAATTTAAGCAAAGAATTTAAAAGGGAAATACTTTCGGTGAAGTTTAGTTGAAAACATAGTTTCTGCATGGTAACATGTTTAGGTATTGGTAAAGGTCAGATTCTGTAACCACATATTGAGTAGATCTGTGTCAAACCCAAGTTATTTTTGTACTAAATTAGATAAAAACAAAGCAGAAAGCCCCCTATAGAATGTGTATAAAGAGTGTGTGGATGATGCAAAGTGACGCCTATAAAGTACCAGGTGTGCGCCATTGTTACTAAGTAACCTTTGAGGTAGGTAGCAGGTATGTGCCATTGTTATTAGTAACCTTTGAGGTAGGTA